GAGGGTAGAGGCAGGTGTGGGTGTTTCAACTTTCCCACCCACATTTTGATGTTGTCGGTATAGGGAGTTGAACCGGCAACCTTCAAGTCACAGGTCCACCTTCTCTAGTCTCTGCGCCACCACTCCCCTAAAAAAGTACAGTATTCATCCATCCATTATCTTTTACCCACTTCTTCCATTTTGGGTCACGGGGGTCGCCGGTGCCCATGTCCAGCAATCACTGTGCGAGGGGCGGGGTACACCCTGGATGGGTCGCAAGTCCAAGTACAGTATTATAAAATTTAAAACTAAAACACAAAAATAGGAAGTGCAGACTGTCAATCTTGAGCAGCAAGAGAAACCTTAAATCTGTTCTTGAAATGATCTTTTTCCTGGATTTGTTGTTTTTTCTTGGCAGAATTGTTTCTTCGTTTTAGACGGGGAACATCAGTGCACAGTCATCGTCTTCTTCAGGTTCAGACTCAAATTTAGTTCTTTACTAGACGTTGCTGTGAATTTTTCCGCAATCATTTTGTTTTACGTCTTAAAGTTTCTGAAATTTCATCTCAGAACAGCTTCCACACAGAATAATGCTGCTATTTCCATGTTTCGCAGAACGGCAATGAGGGGAAACATCTGTGCTTTATAAACTTTAGTTTTCAAACAGTTTTGAACCAAATCACAGATATTTACTTGTCATGGTCTAACTCAGGTGCTTTCTGACAAACTCAGTGAGCGCTGAGGTGTTTAGTGAAGAACAGCCTCAACTGTGAGGCCTTATTGGTGGATTGATTACAATCATTTGAATGTTGGATCATATCTGATTAAAAGAACTCTTAGGATAGTCATGTGTGCCTTAACATACGTATGTTAAATGATATAGCAAAACTTACCTGCACTCCATCCTGATAAATGCGCTCAATAATAACTTCATTGTTTATTTTTTTATAAATAAAAACTATTTTTCTCCTGATGCATGCTCAATAATCCAGGTAGAAAAATCCAAAAAAAATTTCAATCTGGTCCTCTGGACTAAAAAACTATTTTTGGGAAAAGGTCTACAAAGATGAGCCTGAAAGATAAACCGATCTACAAAAACCGCACAAAACCCACGTAACACACACCAGAATACTGAAAGAAACTTCAAACACACAAAATTAGACCTTCGGATTTTATAAATTAATATTGGAAACTGTCATGCCTGTATTGTTTTATTTTTTGCATTGCTCAGGACAACATTGACGTCACATCGACCAACACTTGTTCAAAAAAAAGGAAAGGAGGTTCTGCTGCTGTGTTGGCGTCCCTGCTGGGTGGCACGTGGGTTTAAAAAGTGGATTTTTGAGTGGGTCTCCTGCCGGACTGTCACTCCCTGCGTCTCTGTGTGGGACACAGTCCAAGAGGACAGCTGGCCAGCTGGGAGTGGACATACATCTGTGCATGCATGTGTAGGTATCTGAGTGTGTGGCTGTGTTTCTCTTTTCTTTGTGTGATCTCAAGAGGTCAAAGGTCGAGCTGTGGTTCACAGAAGAGCCACGCTGTTCCCCTCCCAACAGGAAGGAGGGCACTGTCCATATGCTGTCTTCAGTCACACACACACTCGGATTCACACGCTCTCACACACACATTGGTAAGGTCATAAACTCCAACAGGTACACCCATGATCTCACATGGGGATAAATATAGATTCACCTTTTCAAACAAGCACTTAGATGCTAAAATACAAGCAGATCATCTCATTTGAACTTATCTGAAGGCCTCTGGCAGCAGGTTTCAGAGATAAATATTCTGTTTAGACAGTTTTTAGATATTAGAAACACAAACATTCATGTAATGCAAGAAAAGGCTTTCTTCAGCCCTTTTCAAGTAAAACTAATGACTTTTATGAAGGTGCTGTTAGGCCTGTCGCAATTAACAATAAATCAATTAATCGCATGATAAATGAAAATGATGGACCTCATTTGCATTTATCATCTTTATTGTTTCTTGATGTCTCTCTCTTTCTACTGGAGACACTGGATGACAAGGCTCGACTCCGGTGCTCTTCACTGATCCCTCCCTTTCTCTTTGAAATCTGATTTAACCATCCCAAAATCACGTTTTTGGATCATTAAAAGCAGCTAAGCTGAGAAGGTAAGCTAACAGGCTGACCTCTGGAAAAAACCTCCGTCTTGTCAAAGCTCCAAAATTCACGGTTGAAGCCCGCGCTTTCGTCTCAAAAGTTATTTTTCTCTGCAAAAAGAAGATGAGAACTTGTTTACTGATTTTTTTAAATTAAAAGCTTTGTGTGACAAATACTATGCTAAAGAGCTCAAACCACACAGTGTCCACCATGTTGAGAACCAAAAAACAGGAACGACAGACAGCCCATGTTACGTAAAGGGGCCTCCCTCCCATTTTTCTTAAAGAGACACTGCTTGCTCCCTCACTATCCATCCTATGGTTCAAACAGTCTTATACTGCCATCCAGTGGTAAAAAAAAAGGTACTACACACAAAATTAACCAACATTTCTTCTTAAATTTGACATTACTAATTATTGTCAAGTTTCAAACAATATTATCGTTTGTCGCAATAATTTCTGAGACGATTAATCGCTCAGCAAAATCTGTTATCGTGACAGGCCTAGGTGTTGTATTTAAGTCCAAAGCCTTCTGAAGTCCAGACCAGCATTGTTTATCCAGCTTAAATAGACTGGAAACTGTGACACCCAAACAAACTGAGCAGCTGCGAGCACTTCATGCACGGAGATTAGGAATGGATCCAGCTGATGTGTCGATGTGAGAAGTGGAAACTGTAGTTATGTTTCTGGTAATAATTTATTTGATGAAGGTATTTGCCTTTATGACAGAGCAGGAAGTGGAGATGTTTTTGCCAGATGAAGGCAGACATGCTCTCCTGTAAATGGTCATAAATCAAAGGACGACCCAGATGCAAAAACAAGAGGAAATAAATGATCAACAGTAAATTTACTTTGCCTGTCAAACCAGGCTCTGTCGTCTGTGTGGCTAGAACTGGGAGACGTGGCGTTTATGTGGATTTATCAGAAGCAATACAGGCTGAGAGGTGACAGAGCACTCTGTTCAGTGGAAGTGAACACAACTTAGAATATCTGATCAAATAAAGGTAGAAATGAAACACGGTCACCTGATTAAGTAAATTAAACTAAATATACTCCATTTAAAGACTCAATAAATAGAACAGCTATACCTCCCAATATTTTTTCCATCATTAGTGCTGGTAAAACTTTATTGTGCAGCTAAAGTGATTTCTTAAACTGCCCGTTGATTCTACAATAATTTTAAGCTAAACATTTAGATTTCTGCAATGAAACATCTCAGCTGATTTTTTTTTTTTTTCTTTCTTGATACATCTTTTAAAATAGGTGGTTTTCACACCTCTCCATCTGGACTGAATATTTCTGAACAATCACAACAGAATGCTAATGCTAAACAAATGTTGACTGTTTACACTCAATCTGTTGTTGTTTATGTATTTTCTTGTAGTCGTGCTTGTTGACGCTGAGGGTTTTAAAGCCGAGCTCAAAATGCATGCCCATGTCTTTTAGCTCTAAATACCAGAGTATAACATTATAATAAGTCACCTTGACCACTGTGCTCAGGCATAGTTTAGAATATTTTTAATCACAAAACATCAAAATTGTCCGGGTTTACATGTTGAGTTTAAAAAATTCCAACTTATTTAAGTTTCCCACAAATTTGGAAACATAATCCTCCAAAAAATACTCTATTTGAAAAGTCTGCTACAATGATATTCTTATTTATTCACACAGCCTGAAGGAATTTCAAATTTACAGCGTTAAAATATCAATTTACTGCCCCCTACAGGCTACAAAGCACTGAGTCATACACAAGAAAACTCCAGCACAAAAGGTAAAAATAATGAAAATATTGTGTAGTCCAAGAAACTCCAGATTTATAAAAATTTTATTCACTTTCCTCATGTTAAATGTCACAATTATACATACAAAAACAAAACATTTTGGATTTCAGAGTTCAAGATTTAAATGGTGAAATGGTATTGAAAAAACTTAGCAAAGCCTCTAAAAATATAAAATAAAATTAATCTCAGTGCATGACCAGTTCATTCATAGTGCTGCTATTTACGTAGCAGGAAGTGAACAAAATGAGACAAAGCTAATAGTTTATGATGAAAAATACTGCTAAAACACAGAGTCACTAGAAATGTCAAATAAAGTACAACGAACTCTGTAATCAAATTTGTACCATTTATTGTAATCAAAAAGCTCACAGGTGGAGAAAAACAAACCATTTTTTTGTACGTTTTTTTTAATTAACAAGTTTGTACAAGTTTATAAATATTATACAAGTATAAGTACTATGTGTTCTCATCATTGTATGCTCCCATACAATGGTGAAATTAGTTCTCTACATTTAACCCATCACACCTGGGATACACCCAGGTGAGGCAGTGGGAAGCTATGCAAGTGCACAGGGAGCAACTGGGGATGAGGTGTCTTGCTCAGACACCACGACATATGGGGCAGTGGGCAGCTATGCGAACGCTTGGGGAACGATTAGGGATGAGGCGTCTTGCTCAGACACCACGACCTGTGGGAATGGCTGGGGATTGAGCTTGGGACTTTCGGGTCCCGAGTCGGCTGCCCTGCCTCTAACCCATCTCGGCCCCTATTAATGGTTAACAGTCCTGTGAGAAGACTATGATTAATTTAATCTATAATATTTCTCCTACTTTCTCAAATACAAATGGCTAGTTTTGACAATTAAAAATAAGTTACAGTGTGTTTCAGATACTTTGTCTTGTTTCATTCGATCAACCCTGAACCAAAGATACTTGATCTACATTCAGGTTCAACAACAAAAGCTGAAGACATTTGTCAATTCTGATGCATTTTAATTAATTCCACTATACATTTTCTCTTAACCTGCACTGCCATAGTGGAGGGATGTGGCTGAGTCACATCATGCCGAGAGCGCCCCCTACTGGAGAAAGTGAACTCCTTCGTTATGTGATGTAAAAAATTTAATCTGTGGCTGAGATTAGTTGTGTGGATGGGGCTTATTATTGTGCAGAAAAAAGCAAAAAAAATAAAGTAATGGGAGGAAGAAACGCTCTGAATGTTCTTGACAAAAATGTAAATTTTCTCAGTAATAAATTCATGTTTTATTATTTGCATTAAGCCTCACAGTTCAGTTGAGTCTTTTGCTGCAGACCAAAACCTCCCTGACAGCTCCCTGCAGTTTCTTTACAGACTTCATCACCAAGCGGAAACTTTCCTGAAAGTTGCCGTTGCCCTCCTTCACCCAGGCTGCCTGGATATCTGTGGCCCAGGCCAGGATCTCATCCAGCTGCTTCTGCACCTCCTTCTGCTCCTCCAGCTCAGCTAAAAGAGCTTGTCTGGCACAAACCTCTGCTTCGTAAGTTCTGTGGAGGTCCGCTATGGACGATTCAAGCTTCATCACCTCCTGGGTAGAACAAGACCAAAAACAATTCTAACAGTTATGCACTTTTTTAGGATAATTTGTCAAAAGAAGAACATGTTCAAACCTAGTTTTAATAAAATCCCAACATCACCGTCATGAACTTTGTATATATTAGTGTTTTAAAGGCTTAAAAATCTGTTGAAGCAATGACATTCATTTTTATATATACAATATAGCAGGTGACAATGTCTATCTTGGCTTTGAGTGAAAGTCACAACAAGTAAACTATTCATAGAGAAAGAATGAATCAATCAAAATATCTGGAAAAAATATAGTATTTAACCTTTTTTATATTAAGGTCCTTTTAGCTAACTGGCACAAAAAGAGGTGATGAATTATGATTTTTTTTTTTTTTTACATTTTAACACATTTTAGTGTGCGAGTATGTGTACATCTTTTGAAGTAGTTATTGGGCAATAGTTTACGTAAAGATATAATGGTGACAAATACTAGCTCGTCAGCCTTTTGATGGGATGTCTCGTTTCACAATAGAGTTTTTGAGACTTTCAATTGGGAGCCAAAGGATAGTAATTAATTCAGCTTTTACATGTATCTTGGTCTTTTGAAGAACTGATGGGGCTTTAACACTGTGGTCTTGTTTTGTTTTTATTTTTTTAAAGATGTTGCATATTGGCAGGAGTACAAGAACTACACAAATAAAGATAAACGTGTCTAACATGCAATTTGCAAACATAGCCATAACATATTTTAATGGCAACACATGTATGCATCTGTAATTTACTAGACTGAAGCTTTGCAGACGTTCATGCCATCACATCACAATAGTGGTCCAAGTGCCTACAATATGATAAATATATTTTTGAGTCCATCCATACCTGTATGCCCTGAGGGTATTTCTTGTGCGACTGGTCTTCGGGCAGCAGGACATTTGGAGGTATCGTGAAGCAGCGGTTCATCAGCAGGGCCTCCATCCTCCCCGCCAGCGGCTTGAAGCGCTCCTCCAGAAACTGCTGCAGCTTCCGGCTACACTCCCTGGCTCGAGACCGCAGCTGCTCTTCGGCCTTGTCCGGCTGGCCTTTACTCAACTGCCTAACACACACCCTCTCCACCACGGGTAAAATGTCGTACAGACAGTCCTGGAAAGCCCCGTGAATTCGTAACATGCAGGTCTGCGGAGTGAAGCCGAAAAATTGTGTTTCGTACAGTTTTAAAGACGACGGAGAGAAACGATCCGTCTCTTCCTGCGCTGCTCCGTCAACGTCCATCTCCATTTCTGCCTGAGTTTCCCGCGCAATGTTTAATTTTTTTCTTCTTCTTCTACGGAGAGAAACTGAGCAGAAAACGAAGACGTGTGATTTACTGCCCCCAACCGGTTTAAAAAGAAGTTGCATTTTTAGACAAAAGCACTGAAACAGTCCTGATGCACGCTCACTGAAAAATACAATTTCCATTCCTTTTTAATTTTTTTTATTTAAATAAACTGCACATACAATTTTTTTTTTAAATACAACATTAGGATTACCATTTATATTAATGCAATGCCCAAAGTAATGTTTGTCATGAGAAAATATTTTTAAAAACTCGAGTTTTGATTTTGTCTTTTCACATTTAAAGTTTTTGCTAGTTGTAAATTGAATCATTAAATTAGAAAAAATAATTGTCAGTGTTTGTTAAAACAACACAGCTTTAAAGTTTCTGAGTGACACCAAAATATGCTTTCAGTACACAACTTACTCATGTTTTATTAAAACTTGGAAGTACAATACATGTAAAACAAGTGTAACTACTGTGAAAAAAAAAAATCTTGTAAATATGAATGTTAAATATCCCTTTTGGCTGTGTTTGTTTAATTTCTATGGTTTTGACTTTCATTTGCAGTGTATAAAATGAATATATTTTGCTATCCATCTTAAAATTCTGTGAAATATGTCATTCATCTCACTGAAGCCAGAAACAGATTTTTAAATATATAAACTGAACAAATAATTAGGACAATATGTAAATTGTCTGTTATGTATTTCTGTTATATCTTCCTACAACCAACACTAAACTTTTTCTCCTTAAATATGTTCTTTTTTCATTTCATTAGTCTGAGATTTCCTAAAACTATGTACTACTACAATAAGCAAATTAATGTTTGAATTGATTGTTTGAAATTGATTGTTTAATAGGGAGCAGATATAATAAGAAATGTTTTCTTCTTCTGCTTCCTTTCATTTTGTTTTTTTGTTTAATTTTTTTTCTTTCTAAAAATTGTCATTGTTTTTTATATGAAATGAATAAATTTACAATAAATAAATAAATAAATGTTATGCGGTTTTTATTATCAGATTTTAATCTAATAGTGTTTTAATATCTCTCAATTATCACATAGAAATCACAACTTTGAGAAACTGTCATATAAATATGACAATGACAATTATTTCTAAATATAACTTAATTTATTAATTTAATTTTCATAATTATTATTTATTATCCCATAAACAAGAGTTAGATTACCTGTTTTCATCACAACTGAAATGGGCATTCATGATATTTGGAAATCAATAAGCAAACAAAAGTGTCGAAAGCAGCCTTTTTGATTTTACTGTTCCTCTCAGTTACACTTATGTCCAGGTGGTGGCGCTAATGCGCCTCTAAACGGTTTTGACAGCCAACCGTGACACTAAAAGAAGAGTGAGTAAAGTCGCAGAAGGAGAGGAAAGAGAAGACAGCGGCTTTTTGCATCTCTACACGTTTGAAAATTTCTATGTAAATCCACCGTCTGTACATTTTTCAATCTCCTGTGCCAGAAAAGGTGAGTGGGCCGCCCGAGCTGAGGGTTTAGTGTGTGTACATCTGCTCGGCCTCTCTGCACGTCGGGGGCAGAGGTTGTTGCTGGAAGTTTAGCCGGGTTGGCTCCTGTTAGCATCGAGATACCAGCTAGCTGATGCTTTTACTTTTTATTGTGCTGTTGCTAACGTTAGCTAGTTAGCAACCTTAACTAGCGAGCTGATCAAATGTGATCATTCAGTGAAACATTTCTCTTTTTATAATTACGTTTTTTTTTTTAAATATTGTTTTTTTCTTCCACAGTTGGAAAGTCGTAGTTAACGAGAACCATGGGGGCATATCTGTCGCAACCGAACACAGCCAAGACCACCTCCGATGGCGGCAACAGCAACATGAGCTTCGGCTTTTCTGCCATGCAGGGCTGGAGAGTCTCTATGGAGGTGAGGCATAAATTATACTACTCAGCTACGCTTTTTTATTGTCTTTTTTTTTAACCCCATAAGGTAAAATTTGTATACGATTAATCACGTTATAAACCATATTTACTCTCATTCAGACTAATCAACCATGTCGTTCTGCAAGTTCTTTCATGCGCTCTTCTACGAGGATTTTAGCTTCCAAAATAATCAAACCATTTGTACAGAACCAAAGCCCATAAAAACACTTAATTGTGGTGTTCTGAAGATACTGTATATGATGGATTTTGGCAAATCTGTATAAAGTTATCTTAAACTTGTTTTAAATGGCTGCACAGATGCTCATTGACCTTGTAGTTATAGTGAAATTCATAGAGCATCTAGTGGGCAATGAGTTGTTTTATGTTTTGTTTTTGTCTTTGTGAGATCCTCCATAAGACCCATATGAAATTTCCAAAGTTCAGAAAACAGCAGATTTATTTTGTTTGTTTGCTTGAGAAACTGTGCTTGCATGAATACTACCAGGTATTACCATTCCTGATTATCTTGAAAAATACTAATTTATTTTACTTTGAATTGCTTGGCCCTAATGTGCCATGTTGGTTATATGTTTATGATTTATTTATTTATGTAAATGAGAGACTCATCTGGGGGACAGGGACTAGAAACTGGGCTTTAAATGCGTTGTGGTACAGTATTATAACCAGTTTTTTAGTAAGTTATTTTCCTCACACATATAAATTACAAATTAAAATTATAAGTTAAAAAATGCATTTATTCCCTGAACATTTGTTTGTAAAGGGATGTTTACTGTTGCTGTTTTTTAGGGATTCAATGTCTGAGTTTGTAGAATGTTTACACATGTGTACATCATACTCATAACTTTGTTTCCTTAACAAAAACTTGTATTGCTTTGATTTCTGTGTCACAGGATGCTCACAACTGCATCCCAGATTTCGATGAGGACACAGCTATGTTTGCTGTGTACGATGGACATGGAGGTGAAACACTGTTTTTATCTGCACCCTGTAATGGGCAATTGGGGTGCTGTTTATTTGCTAAAATCTTAACTTAAAAAACAGGATTTTTATGACAATGCACTGTTGTTTTGTTGTTTAGGTGAAGAGGTAGCTCTGTACTGTTCAAAGTATCTTCCTGACATAATCAAAGAGCAGAAGGCTTATAAAGATGGCAAACTGCAAAAGGTGAGCAGCTGAAGAAGCCATCATGAAACGTTCATATTACAGACTGAGACGATGTGCACTGCTTGATTGAGACTGACGTTAACATGTTTTCAGGGACTTGAGGATGCATTTTTGGCCATCGACAGCAGAATGACCACAGAGGAGGTCATCAAGGAGCTGGTGCAGATTTCTGGACGACCGACTGAGGAGCTACCTGCTGAAAAGGTGGCAGAGGAGGACGACTGTGAGTGTTCTCCAGACAATAACATTTATTAGTACTTTTTTATTAGTATAGTATAGTCAGGTTTTAAGAAACTTTCAGTAAAGTTCTCTACGTGATAAAGAAAATCAGAAGATGAAATGTTTCGTTTTGGAACAATAACAAATATTATTTTAAACTGTGAACACACCTGATAGACTCTGCTAGATTTAAAGGGGTTGAGTCTACACTAAAACACACACAGTATAGTACAAGCATGAGAGAGAAGAGTAGGATGGTAGGATGGCAGTTTTTTTGTATGACTGTGAGTGGTTCTTCTTTTCTGTCCTCTTAGTGGACACAGAGGAGGCAGCTCTGCTCCACGAGGAGGCCACTATGACCATCGAAGAGCTGCTGGTTCGCTACGGCCAGAACCTTAAAGCTGCCAAACACACTGCAGCCATCAGGTAATCCAACAAACCATCGTGTTGACGTTTTGTTACCAGGGTCATCATTGCTGTGGTAAACAGCGCTCGTAAACCAATGCATTTTGGTTTATTATATTTACCTTTTTTTTAAGTGGGGCAGCTAAGAAGGCGTCCTGCTCAGATGCGGGGGCTTCTGGAGATAAAGGAGAAGATGCTGAGGGGCAGAAGAAAGAAGGAGTGAATGGAGAAGTGGACGAGAAAGAGAGCAATGAGAAGGTGAAGGAAGGACAAGGAGCGACGTGTGAGTCGAAGCTGAGAGCCTGTCGCAAAACAGGAAGTGAAGGGAGTAGTTCAGGTATGGACATGCTATTCAGGGGTCTATTCTGTAGCATTACCAAAGAATACTTAAAATCTGCCTCTTTTTTTTTTACCCCTCCGCTCTAGTAGTTGATGGTGGAGAGTCGGGAAGCTCTAACGGAGAGGGGAAAGCTGGTAAGACTGAAGGAGATGCCGGGCCTTCCTGCTCCTCTTTGTCCTCTAAGGCTAAAGGAGATTCCAAATCCAGGTTTTTTGATGACAGTGAAGAATCCGAAGAGGGAGAGGAGGAGGAAGAGGAGGGCAGTGACGAAGAGGTGAGAAGACCAGAATAAAGCATTGTGTTAGGCTGCGAATGTTCACACTGAATAACTGTAAAGCATTATTTTTTTACAAAGGTTTTTTTTTTTTTTTTCCTCTTTAGGATGGAAGTGATGAAGAAGAGGGAGACAGCACTGAGTTAGAAGAGGACACAGAGGAGGGAGAGGAGGACTCTGAGGATGAAGACGAAGGGGAAATGTGTCTGCCTGGAATGGATGGCAAAGAAGAGGTTTGTAGAAAGAGAATGTGTTATGTCGCATAAATAAATAAAAGGACTGCATGAACATGTGAACAGCTCTTTCACATAACACCTCAAGTCAGGACTTGTATGCCTTCGGGACTCCTCTGTGGTTTCTGAATGGACCAAGGCAGCGGGGTTGGGGGGTGGTCACCACCAACCTGTCGTAGTGCCATGAAGCAACGTAGTAACAGAACTGAATAGGCTGACATTTGAAATTTAGATTGGCTTTGTGGCTCAGTAATGTGATGAAGTGTTGACGACAGCTGGTCTGAGGCCACACAGTTGCAGGATTAAATGACAGCAAACAGATTTATTACAGAAGCTGTGAGATCGATGATGACGCACAACAACTTTGCATTTAATAAAAGCTGTTGTTTAACCACATAAAGAATTGTTAAACAGAGTTATTTTGTCATGTTTTGAAAACAGTATTATTTCCTTCATGTGTTACAACGTGTTTCGCTCCACAACAACGTAGCTGAGTTTTGCTCCGTGCCTCTTGTTCCGCGATGCTCCTGACAGCTCATGTCTTTAAGGACAGGAGCAGCATAAAGTGGGACTTCTCATAGTGACTTGTTTTCCTTCGCTTGACAGAAGGCTTGTTCACAAAACATTTCCATGAAATGGACACACAGACCAGTCACTCTTTCTCCTCCCCCTGGCTGTTCATAAATCACAGATGGACCGGTCACACATGGACGTGAATAGACATAGTCTTAATTAGGCAACATTTTTATCTCTGGTTCTGCACAATTTAAATGCCACAGAATCTAAAATCTAACTTTGTATTAAATGTTGATGTGTTTGGAGCGTCAGTTTAATTCCTGTATCATCATCAGATTATTTGGCTTTTAAAAGACCTCAACAAAACATGTTTTTTCCCTCTTTCATTTTAAAAGATGACATAAAACTGAAATGTGTGGCAACGGAAAACTAATCCATGTCTGTTTCACTTGGTTGTCCACCCATCAACCCCGAGGTAAGATCTGGTTGTTCTAGAAGAAAATAGGTTGCCTCAAACAAACAAAAACCGTTTATGTCGACCCGTTTTAATCCGAGTTAGATCACAGCACAAAAAGCAATTTAAATGCTTATATTCAGAACCTGTAACCACAGGTTACACCTGAGTTTTATATTACACAGTAAAAGTAGAAAAATGACCTGCAAGTAATGTTTTTTATTTAAATTGACCTCATTAGAAGATCAATTGTAATTTGAAGCAGAAAATCTGACGTGTATCCTCCGTCCTCAGCCCGGCTCAGACAGCGGCACCACCGCTGTTGTAGCGCTGATCCGAGGGAAGCAGCTAATTGTGGCCAACGCTGGTGACTCTCGCTGTGTCGTCTCTGAACGAGGTACTGCCACCTACAAACCCACAATATTTGATTACATGTATACATTTTTGATGCAGATTTTGAATTATGGCATATTGGTTACAAATTAACAGACAGTTTAGAAACATAGGTCTCCTGAACATGACCCACTTTTTGACCCCATGAAATTGGAACGTTTCCTTATTAGAGGGCTTCGATGTCAAATGTGAATAAACTGTGATGGCAACTGTAACCTCAGGAGCTCGAATGTTGCTGTTTGATTACTGTAGTGATTCTTGCCTTTAGAACAGCCAGTCAAGGCATTTAACTCCACTATAGCAACTAAAATGCATATCGTATTTTCCGCCGTACACTTCCACCCTATAAATCGCATCCGTCCAAATATGTCTAATAAAGTGGAAAAATCCATAAATATGTTGCTTCGCCGTATACGTCGCATCTATTATGCGTTGCTGCTGACACGTCGCATTTATTACGTGTCACTGCTGACAACCCGGAAATGTGGGCCGGTGATGTGCCAAAAATCGATGGACTGCCAATGGCAGCCGTGGGAGCGTGCACAGAAGGACTTTAAAAAGAACAAGGTTAACACTTAAAAACTATTTTGTTTGCTCTACATTATAGTTAAGGTGTGTCTCAGTTGAACTTTTACTTAATAAATGCTTTTCAATGGTCAAATTAACTGCATTTTGCTGGGGCGGCGTGGCAAAACGAAGCGGATTTGATGGTTCAGGTGAGCTGGACGAAGGTGGCATTCTTTGGCAAGCCGATTGTGTCATTAATAGCCACTTTTCACTATTACATGACAAAACGGCGTGCCATACACTCGAGTGCCATCTAGCAGCTGAAAATGGTAGTGTTCAATATTTTCAGTAAGAATGAATTAAAACGGTTATATCTCAGCCAAAAGTTTGTTTATAAATATGGGAAAAAATCCATAAATATGTCGCTTTGGCGTATAAGTTGCAGGCCATACAAATTATGCAAAAAAATATGCCTTATAGGCCGAAAAATATGGTACTTATGAAACCTGGTGGGTACAGGTACAATAACAATTTGTTGATAACCATGAAAAGATCCTGTAGATTTAAAGTAAAAATTACAAGAACTTTATATGATCATCTGATAAAATGAGAAGCTATGTTGTATTCGGAAAGTTTTTTTGTTTTGTTCTTTTAGACAAACAGGTCTTGAAAAAGGGCCGCATGGTGGCGCAACTGGTAGAGCTGCTGCCTCTCAGCGAGCAGGTCCCTGGTTCAAACCCCGGTCCAGGGGCCTTTCTGGGTGGAGTTTGCATGTTCTCTCCGTGCATGCGTGGGTTTTCTCCGGGTACTCTGGTTTCCTCCCACAGACCAAAAACATGCATGTTAGGCTGATTGGTAACTCTAAATTGTCCCTAGGTGTGAATGAGAGAGTGAATGGTTGTTTGTCTCTATGTGGCCCTGTGATGGACTTGCGACCCGTCCAGGGTGTACCCCGCCCCTCGCACAGTGATTGCTGGACATGGGCACCGGCGACCCCCGTGACCCAAAATGGAATAAGCAGGTAAAGAGGATGGATGGATGGATGGTCTTGAAAAAGTTTCTGTGGTCATAATTCAGCTGAATAGAAACAATTGATTCCCTAAGAGAAAGTGGATTATCACAGCAGCAGACAAGGTCACAAGTACTATGGAATAAACGTAAATATTTATAGGGCATAAATATTTAAAGAGTCTTCAGTTAGTGTGTGTTAAACATAAGAGCTCTCTCTGTGCTGCTGTAGGCAAAGCTGTTGACATGTCTTACGACCACAAGCCAGAAGACGAAGTGGAACTGGTTCGCATCAAAAATGCTGGCGGGAAAGTGACCATGGATGGACGAGTCAATGGTGGACTGAATCTCTCCAGAGCCATTGGTTGGTGACTTTGCAGGAGTATCCTGTCTGAGCAATCCCTATTTTTATTGTTGACACGTTTCTAATAAACTTGAATGAGCTGTTTGATTAATGAAGGTGCTGTGCTCAGTATCCTGCTCTGCACTGACTAAACTCTAAATGTGAATCTTGACTGTCAGGTGACCACTTCTATAAAAGGAACAAGTCCCTGCCACCGGAGGAGCAGATGATTTCTGCTATGCCCGACGTCAAAGTTCTCACGCTGAACGAGGAACATGACTTTATGGTCATCGCCTGCGATGGCATATGGTGAGTTTGAAAGACCGTTTGCATTCTTTCAAGAACAGACAAAAATCACGCAACAATAGAAAGCTGTCATCTTTTAAGCGTTGATTTTATGAACGTGTTTGCAGGAATGTTTTAAGCAGTCAGGAGGTGGTGGACTTCGTCAGCGCGAGGATCAAACCAGACAAAGATGGCCAAGTTAGACCCCTCACGTCCATAGTTGAGGAGGTAAACACAAACACAAAACTGACTCATAGCCATTTACAGACTGAAACATTCTCAGTGTTGGTCATTTATTATTTTAATTCCCTCCAAACAGTTGTTGGACCACTGTTTGGCACCTGACACATCTGGAGACGGGACGGGATGTGACAACATGACTTGCGTCATCGTCACGTTCAGGCCTCATCCCACTCAGTCAGACGACACAAAGAAGAGGAAGCACCAGGAAGAGGCAGAAGGGACTGAAGTTGAGGAGAATGGAAACGACAGCAAAAAGACGAAAAGCGAATAAAGGAAGAGCGAAACTATCCCAGGGGGAGCAACTGGTCTCACGCTACCGCAGATACACCCGAGACACATTCTGTACAAAAATTCAATCTTTACCTCACTAAAGTAATTTCACGCTGAAGCAGACGTCACAAAGACTATATGTATGCTCAAAGATCAGTTGAACTAAGATCATCTGTATAGTTTTTTTTTTCGTGCTGTTGGTGGGTTCTCACAACACACCCATACAATGATTTTGATTGGTCCAGTTGAAGTGAACTTTTAGTTCTTGAATATAAAAAGAGGCAGGTTTGCCACTCCCTGCCTCGTTAAGTAGCGCTGCAGTTTCCATAAATTACTCTGCAGGAAGAACTAATCCACAGACCTGTTATTATTATTATTTTTTGGTATCTGAACATTTTCGAAGCTCCTCCATTCCTGCAGTCGAGCACGTGTACAGCATCTCTTTCCATCCGGCAGCTTCAGCTTTTTTTTTTTTTGATGAAGCTTGAAGATTGTTCACGCAGTTCCTGTATCTGTTAATGAAGACATCGCCTTTTTTGTTGCTGGGTGATGACTACAATTTCATAGCATAAAGATGAATGAGTGAGTGGGCATTATGATTTTGTGTAAACTCCATGTAAGCGTCATGGTGCAGTGAAAATGGGTCATCCAGTCTGAATGTGTTGGTACCGTGATCCAGGTTCCTCTCTGAAGATATCTCAGCCGGAGTTTGTTCAGGGTCAGTTGTGAGTCACTTTTGCTTCACCCATTGCCAAGCTGAGGAACGGATTATTTTGCTCTTACCGATTATTTTTACATAAAACATATTTTCCATTTACCTTAGTGTCCACTCAGAAGTGAATTTATTTTTCCCCATCTTGCTGGTCACATGAGTACTTTGTGATTATGTCATTATTATTATTATTTTTTCCCCATTCCAGTTTTTTTGCTTGTCTTGATAAAAAGTGTACATTTTCATGTCGGGAAATATGAAATATATGGTTTTCTGGAGCTCATAGACTTTCCACCATTAAAATATGACGGCAGGAAAAGAAGCAGCAGTTTCCTTTAGCCCCGTCAGTGTTCCTCTCTGTAACTCCTTTTTAAAAAGCTCTCGTGTAGAACATGAGTTTTGAGGAAAAGATTTTCAGCAGTTTAACGTTCCCTTTTTGTTTTTGATAAATGAAACCTTTTGGTAATCTTTTTAAAGAAGGAATTCTTTACTTTTTTCTAAGCACATTCTGAAAACACCTTGTTGCTGGACTGTATCGAGAGAATGCTCAAGATTTTTTTTTTCTTCTGGGTGGGAAAGCAATTTAAAGTTGAAAGCACCAAGACAGTGCAACTGTTTGATTTTTATTTTATTTGCGGATGCCTTGTTTAAGTCATTGTGACTGTAAGTTAGTGTACTTGTTAACAAACTCTCTACTCTGTACATAGTTTTTTTTTTTTTTTTTTTCAGTAATTGTAATTGAAGGGGGGGGAAGCATTTTCTTTGTAATTGTGAGTCTATGTGACATTTTGGTGGATACTCTTTTGACACCACTATGTAAGTACATACAAATACAATTTTTTTAAATAATCAGATCTACCTTTGTGTGTTTCATGGGTGGCTTTCATTGTCTGACCTCCAGGTTTTACGTTGTAGAAGTATTTATGGAGACCACAAAGTAGTCCGAGGCAATGTTTTCTGTCTTAAACGCCTCGTATTGATGTTCTGTTGTGTTCAGGTGTCCCTGTGATGGACTGGAGACCTGTCCTGGGTGGCTGCTGGATATGGGCACCAGTGACCCCTTCGAAAGCAGGTCAAGATGATGGATGGATGTATTCAGGCTGTCCTCCAGATGGCACCAAAGAACTACACCCTCCATGTTAAAGCATGTTACTCAGGGTTAAGCATGTGACATGAAGGGGAACACTCAGCAGATTTTTCTTCCAGCCAGAGAGCAGCTGTTGATCATACCAACTTGCACACATTAAATCTTTACGGACAAACTAATCCGTGCGTTATGTCTTGAAGCTGCAAACCTGCAGACGTTTTCTTTGCTGAGGCCTATAATCACAAGCCTTGTTAGGATGTGGTTGATGTGTCGTTTTTCATTGTGCAATATTCGAGTTTCAGGTCACCGTTCTCTTGCTTTTAGCATCGGTTCCTCTTCTGAAGACCGTGGCGTGTTGTCACAGCAGGAACAATAGAACGCCAAACAGGATGCGAACACTGTCCTTGGAATCTAAAATCGTCTCCCAACACAAACCAGAACACATGTCCTTACAGTCTTTTGCATATTTTTGATCATTGTTCAGATTAGCAGCATCGCGTGCTTTAGGGAGTGTGTGTAATGTTTGTTCCCGTTCCTTTTATGGCCTTCTGCAGAAAATGAGTTCTACAGCAAGGATTTCATGCACGCAAATTTATGTTTGCCTCCTCAAAACGCTTCATACTTTCCAAGGCTTTTTCTAAAGACAAACTCAGAAGCTCAATAGTGACCTTGTCCAGCTGTGGGAGTTTTTTTTCTTTCTGGACTCCTAAAGTTGACTAATGACCACCGAGAACCACAGGAGGCCGAACTAGACCTGCAGTCGTTCATATGACTGTGTGTGTGTGTCGTCTAGCCAGCATCCCATATAGAAAGCAAACCACAATAGCAGGTTGTAGTTTAGACACTGAAGGCTTTCATCAAGATGTTTTCAGTGTTTTGCTCTCGCTCCTAAAACTGCTCTGACCCTGTTGGCCTCACTGCTCAGAACGTCGCAGCAAACACACAGACATGCCAGTGGTCGCAGCACAGTCACAACACGCCGCCACTAAAAGTAAAAGTAGAAATAGTACAACAAACAACAAAAATGTTACTTAAAATGTTTTATACATAAAAAAAAATGTTTTCAATTTGACGCAACCAAAATGTTTTTCATTTTCATCTCAGTTTAACAACGCTGTAAAGTGAGCATACTTCAACTTTTCATCTTTGCTTCATCTGGGAGTTTTGGACCTCCTTTGTAATTTTTTTCAGTTTGTTTCATAATGTGCCAAAGTATTTTCAGTGGATGCGTTCTGGACACGAACTCAACGTTACTGCAAACAGCTCTTTACTGTCAGTCTCTCCAGTGCACAGAAAGGCCCTTCACTTTTTTTTTTTAGTCCTTAAAGTGATCTTTCCACTGTTCTTCCTGCAGTATCTTGTGTCTCTAGCAGTGAATGTTTTTTTAGATTAATGTTATTTCTAATGTTGGTTTCAATCTCAAGCCCAAATGTGCATATATGTGCCTTTCAGACCAATCCTGATAGTTATAGAAAAGCTTCCAGAAAGTGTTTATCCTCCCACTCTTATAACATTCCCTCCACTTCCTGTCTCCTCTTCATTCCACCTCCTCATTTTCCTTCCTCTCTGAAGCCTCCTTTCCTCCATATTTCCTTTTCTGATAATTCATTCACTTCCTGGCCTCATGTTAATCTATCATCATCAAACTTGTGATTTAAACCTCTCCTTTCTTATACTTGATTTTTATTTTACGAAAAAGTATGCAGGTTTAATACTTGTGTTCCTGATCTAAATACCAGTCAAAAGAGGAGACAAATTACAAACAAACAACTAAATCAGCTAAAAAAAAAACTGAAATAACAAAATTAACAGGAGTGCCAAATATTATACAGTCCAGGTTAGATAAAATAGATGAAACATAGAGAAGGTGGAGGGAGCGGGTGTGCACAGAGCGGTCGGTGTGTGTTCACCTGTTAGAAATGACTGAAGTCAAACATTAATGAATAGAAACTTACTTTTAACCAGCAATGACTGAACAAAGAGCAGGTTTCACTGATCTCACTCTCCAGTACTAAAAGGCTTGCTGTGGTTTGTGTGAGGTTCAATAAATCCAAGGACACTTTGACGTTTCAGTTGGAGGGAGATGAGGTTTAAACCACCTGGAGCCACAATCAGCTTTACATAAAGATGTGTACAATGGACAAAAGTATTTGTTCACACCTGTTCATTTTTCTATATTGGGGTTTGGGCTAGGTCAGGGGTCTGCAACTTGCGGCTCTGGAGCCACATGCGGCTCTTTGATCCCTCTGCAGCGGCTCTTTCAAGCTTTGACCAAAACTGACATGAAACTGAATTTTATTGGTTGTTACAACAACTAAAAGGGCTAGTTTTAGCAGTTTTTGCAAATATATGAATACTGGAAACATTACAAGGAGTAAAACATACTCACTTTCACTTATTTTTTCAAAGTAGGATACATAATTTTTCTGCAATAAAAAAAAATCACATAAGAATGCATAGTTTATTGTTTTAGTTTTTAGAAACTGGGCAAAACTATATATTTTTTTTCCTTCTTTACAAGAATCTCATTATTTATTTTGTCTTAGAATGTAAAAATATCAATACATGTTAAAAATCATTAGATATTTTTAGTTTTGTAAAATCACCCCTACTGTCCAGAAAAGTGCCTTCCAACAAACTTAAAGTGGTCCATGGGCCACCAGTTGAGAATCCCATTGTGGGTCCAGACACGTTTAATTTAACAAAGGGGCAGAAATGGCTCTTTTGATCGTAAAGGTTGCAGACCCCTGGGCTAGGTGGTGCAGTTGGTAGAGCTGCCACCTCTCAGCAAGAAGGTCACCAGTTCGAATCCCAGCCACATGACTTTTCTGGGTGGAGTTTGCATGATCTCTCTGTGCATGCGTGGGTTTTCTCTGGGTATTCTGGTTTTCAGACCAAAAACATGCATGTTAGACTGATTTGTAACTCTAAATTGTCCCTAAGTGTGAGTGAGAGAGTGAATGGTTGTTTATCTTGTTTGTCTCTATGTGGAACTGAGATGGACTTACTTTGTACAACCGACCTGTCCAGGGTGTCCCCCACCTCTTGCACAGTGACGGCTGGATATGGACCTTAGTGATCCCTGTGACCCAAAAAGGAAGAAACGGGTAAAAGATAATGGATGGATAGGCTTGGGCTAAGTCCCTGATTTTCATTGATGATGGACATAGACATGTTGGAAAATGTGCTCCCAACTTTGTGGCAACACACTGGGAAAGGGCCAGTGTGTTCCAACAGGATTGTGCTCCCATGCATCAAAACAAGTACAGTACTACAAATACATGGTTTGATGAGCTCAGTGTGGAAGACACAGAGCCCTGACCTCAACCCCACTGAGCACCTTTGGGACAAACTGGAGCAACGGTTGTGAGTCAGACCTTCTTGTCCAACATCAGCCTGACCTCATAGATGCTCTGCAGACTAAATGGTCATAAATTCCCACAGAAATACAAAATCTTATGGAAGGACTTCCAAAAAGAGTGAAAGTTTTGAGCTGCAGAAGGGGAACCAGCTCTGTGCAGTCCCTGTTGGTGTGACGGTCCGATGCTTTTCTTCATCATCTATTTCACTTGACAAGAGTAAGCTACGATATTCTTGCATTATTTTAAATAAGTTTGCTTAACAGAGAATTACTGCAGCTGAAATTTCCCCATGTTTAACAATAAAACCTACAGATTTGTGCAACTAAAAATATGC